ACAGATTCATGTGGTGTAACATTCTTTAATTAAACAATAAAGATTCATGTGGTGTAACATTCTTTAATTAAACAATAAAGATTCATGTGGTGTAACATTCTTTAATTAAACAATACAGATTCATGTGGTGTAACATTCTTTAATTAACAATACAGATTCATATGGTGTAGCATTCTTTAATTAAACAATAAAGATTCATGTGATGTAACATTCTTTAATTAAACAATAAAGATTCATGTGGTGTAACATTCTTTAATTAAACTATAAAGATTCATATGGTGTAGCATTCTTTAATTAAACAATAAAGATTCATATGGTGTAACATTCTTTAATTAACAATACAGATTCATGTGATGTAACATTCTTTAATTAAACAATACAGATTCATGTGATGTAACATTCTTTAATTAAACAATACAGATTCATGTGATGTAACATTCGTTAATTAAATAATAAAGATTAATGTGGTGTAACATTCTTTAATTAAACAATAAAGATTCATATGGTGTAGCATTCTTTAATTAAACAATAAAGATTCATATGGTGTAGCATTCTTTAATTAAACAATACAGATTCATATGGTGTAGCATTTTTTAATTAACAATAAAGACTCATGTGGTGTAGCATTTTTTAATTAAACAAAATCATTTTATGTGTTTTCATTGGTGTTTACGTGATTAGTTGATCTTTGATATTCTGTTTCCGAAACGGTTTGAGAAGTAAAATGTGAAGGTTCTGTATAACACGACAATAAGGAATTGAGATTGGAGTTAATATAATAAGTGCTAAAACTCGATTTGATTTCCTTTTACATCTTGCTACATAATGTTTATCAGTGGATATGATGGGTGCAAACTTACCTCTCGTTTAAAAAGACCCGTTGTTACGAGACTAGTAGGAGCATCACCCTTGACGATAGTGTCCAGCCTTAATACCTACAGTAAAAATTAACCACCAGATGAAACACCGAAACTGAAACCTAACTACACAGCTGTCATTGCACTGAATCAGACCTGACTGAATGTTGTTAAAAACTTACAGTTTTTTTACAGAAACACCTTACCTGTCCAAATCTGACAAATTCGACCTGACGTGCCTTTTCCTTCCCACGTGAGCCACGAGGTGTTTCCGGAAGTACGTCACTAAATGCACGTCGATTGAGCATTGTTTGCTGACAGAATGAAAATTAACTTGAGTTTGGACAAATTAAATGGCGCGAAATATTTCTAGCGTGATATCAAAGCAAAAAATAATTTTAATGATTCAATATTCTACTTAATCACCAGTTAACTTCATAAACCTTTTTTTTTTTCAACTGGGTTATAAAGGATGTTTCAGTTTAAATAGGTCAATTTACAGTACGTAAACCTTATTAAATAAAGTAATAATGAATAATGTTATACTACCGCTGTTGATTTATTATTGACTCTCTAATGATACCTACAATAATTACTATTGACTCTCTAATAATACCTACAATAATTACTATTGACTCTCTGATGATGCCTAAAATAATTACTATTGACTCTCTGATGATACCTACAATAATTATTATTGACTCTCTGATGATACCTGAAATAATTACCGTTGACTCTCTGATGATACCTACAATAATTACTATTGACTCTCTGATGATACCTACAATAATTACTGTTGACTCTCTGATGATACCTACAATAATTACTATTGACTCTCTGATAATACCTACAGTAATCACTATTGACTCTCTGATGATACCTACAATAATTACCGTTGACTATCTGCTGATACCTATAATAATTACTATTGACTCTCTGATGATACCTACAATAATTACTATTGACTCTCTGATGATACCTACAATAATTACTATTGACTCTCTGATGATACCTACAATAATTACCATTGACTCTCTGATGATACCTACAATAATTACTGTTGACTCTTTGATGATACCTACAATAATTACCGTTGACTATCTGATGATACCTACAATAATTACCGTTGACTATCTGATGATACCTACAATAATTACTATTGACTCTCTGATGATATCTACAATAATTACTATTGACTCTCTGATGATACCTACAATAATTACTATTGACTCTCTGATGATACCTACAGTATTCACTATTGACTCTCTGATGATACCTACAATAATTACTATTGACTCTCTGATGATACCTACAGTAATCACTATTGACTATCTTATAATACCTACAATAATCACTATTGACTCTCTGATAATACCTACAATAATTACTATTGACTCTCTGATGATACCTACAGTAATTACTATTGACTCTCTGATGATACCTACAATAATTACTATTGACTCTCTGATGATACCTACAATAATTACTATTGACTCTCTGATGATACCTACAGTAATCACTATTGACTATCTGATAATACCTACAATAATCACTATTGACTCTCTGATAATACCTACAATATTTACTATTGACTCTCTGATGATATCTATGATAATTACTATTGACTCTCTGATGATACCTACAATAATTACTATTGACTCTCTGATGATACCTACAGTATTCACTATTGACTCTTTGATGATACCTACAATAATTACCGTTGACTATCTGATGATACCTACAATAATTACTGTTGACTCTCTGATGATACCTACAATAATTACTATTGACTCTCTGATGATACCTACAGTAATCACTATTGACTCTCTGATAATACCTACAATAATCACTATTGACTCTCTGATAATACCTAAAATAATTGATATTGACTCTTTGATGATAGAGACAATAATTAGATAACATATGTGGAAAAAAATAAAGAAACGAACAAAGAACTTACACCACGCGTGTCCACTAAGTGGTCAGCGTACATGTCTTTTATAAGCATTTCAAGTGTTCTTTCTCGTTTCTGAGCAAATGTTGGAGTGTTAAAAGCTGCCTTTTCACCATTCATCACTGAGAGAAATATACACACTGTTGTATTATAAAATATATACAGCAGACCAACTGTTTAATGGCTATATTACATCTCTTTTATTTTAGCCGCATCGAATCAAACAACGCATTAGTCCTCTACGTCACACATTATATTTTAAATTCTACTTTTGGTGAAAAGAAAAGAATTATATGTAATGTGATCCCAAATATTATTAACGAAGCAACAATATAAATAATATTCGTCAAGTATTGTTAAAGAGGTTACTCGAAATCTCAAACATTAATTGGAATGATTCAAGATGACATTTTTTATTGCAAATAAACATGTAAATCAGAGGGGCTAAAATACTGAAAACAAAAGTAACAAATATTAGTTTTATCTATTTACTTACACTTTACTAGGAGAAACTCTCGGAATTCTGCTGTGTTGTAAAACACTGGTGGACAAGGTAAGGTTGGGCCGAATAAGGGGACAAATTCGTCGGAGTAAACAGATAAGCTGTGTGGGAAAAACAACAACTGGGAATTAATGATTTGGAAATGAAGCTCATGTAGATTTCGTCAAACAAATGTAGCAAAAACATTCATTGTTTGTTTGAATTTACGCACAAAGCTACACAATGGGCTATCTGTGTTCTGCCCACCATGGGTATCGAAACCCGGTTTGTAGCATTGTAAGTGCCCCCCCCCCCAGTGGCACAGCGGTATGTATGTGGACTTATAACGCTAGAATCCGGGTTTCGATACCCGTGGTGGGCAGAGCACGGATAGACTTTGAGACGAAAGACTTTCGAAACTTCGTCCTTTTTCCACCTGAGCTACTACTTTTGTAGATTAGTCCTACCAGACTTTCTCTATAGGTGTCACTATGAACTAGCCAATTGCTGCCCATTTTCCCTATTTGTTAATTCTGAAGAGCCTGCTTAAAGCATCTATAAAAGAAGATTACTAATTACACAACAAGTCAAGAAATTCATCGTTCTGTTGTAACACTGCATAGAGAGCTAGATTTTTTTAAAGTGAAATTATCACAGACTGTATTGTAATAACAGAGCAGAAAAGGATAACACAGGCCTGCGAATGTAAATTTCATAAAAAAGTTGTTTTGGTTTTAATAAAGGATTTTCCATAATTCAGCTACGCAGATTTCGAAAATTATATTCATATTTTTTCTACCACGTAAGAATTTTTTTTACAAATCGGAAAGAAAAAAAAACTTACTTAGATCAAATTATTATTTCGTTTACCACAATGAACATTATTTATTATTATGGTTGGGTTCTAGAGCGATCGATAAGACTCTCACGTCGCGATTGGTCTAGAGAAATCTATAACCAGTGGTTGTCAACATTTTACATAACAAAATGTGACCCGATTTCAATGAAAATGATTCACCTATGTAAAAGTACATATGACGTTTTGTAAAAAAATCCGTACGTGATGGAGAAAAATGGATATCATTTCCAGATCCAGTGTAGAGGAATTACTATAGAACATGTAAACATTTCAAAACCAATAAACCATAGCAGGCCTGTGTAATCCTTGACAAGATGAAAACTACTTTACTATTAATTATCTAACACACACAATTTTAATAATAAAAAAAAACAACTCTTCCGTGATTGAAAGTATAATTACTGCCTTGCAAGAATTTGATAAGCGAGATAAAATAATAAAATCAGTATTATTAAGACGTCTGATGAACTTACCGGTAGGAGTAGTCATCCTTCTGGTACGTCACCAATGCAAAAATATCTGATCGAGTTGAGAAACAAAAAGACCTTAAATAGATTCTATCTCTTATCCATATATTTTATTTACTAAACTATGCATGTAAAACTGATACTTTTTGGTTAGGGGGCGCTCGACTCGCAATCTGTGGGTCCACGTCACACCAAACATGCTCGCCCTTTCAGCCGTGTGGGCGTTATAAAGTCACGTTTAATCCCACTTTTCGTTGGTAAAAGAGTAGCCCAAGAGTTAGCGGTGGGTGATATCGATTTGCTGCTCTCTCTCTCTCTCTGTAGTCTATCACCGCTAAACTAGCGACGGCTAGCGGAGATAGCCCTCGAGTAGCTTTGCCCAAAATTCAAACTAAACTAAACCTATTTTAAGTGCTATTTATGACAGTAAAGTTCTCGATCGCTTCGAAGTTCAAAACGCCATAGAACGTGGTGATTGGCTGCTTTATTAATACGTAGCAAGTTTTTACATCTGATGTCATCGACATGTCTTTTTGACATGCGCACCCTGTAGCTTAAGTAGAAGCCTAATAAGACTGGATCTCTCTTAGCTATTAATTATCAAAACGTAACTTGATAAACCTGCTACATTTCTGGAAAGTTATTCAGAAGTCATAGAGAAAGGTTTGAGTTCCATAAGGTCATACAAGCGTGTTAGAGTTTTGTTCACAAAAATATATAAAACGCATTCATCCCCCAATTTAAGAACGTGCAGTCCATGTGTCTTATACAAAATATCATCTAAGAAAAGGTCTAGAAAACCATAAAGAAACTGTACCGAAATAAAACAGCAATCTGAACACACTTTTAAAACTGGTTTTTCGTTTTTCCTGCTATTCAATGTTCTTGACAGAACTGTGACTCTTTTCGTCATACGTTACAGCTTCGATTTGACGATAAACGTCCTTATATGGCAAACAGACGTATGGTATTCCAGGCCTGGATACTTTATCATACGTTACAACTAACCAACCTTTTATAGAATGTGATACAGTTCGGAAACCACGAATATTTCGAAAAGAAAACTACAACTACACACCAACAGAATAACAGTGAGAGTATAAAGTGTGTTGTAGAGTGAGCACTTCGAAAGGTTACTTTCTTCATTCTGTGGTTGACTGTGAGAACATTAAGAACTGATTATAGTATTATTGGCACTTGTGTAT